TACTAGAGTTAAATCTGTGGGAGCCAAATATCCACAGGTATAGAAAATTAAATCAGACAGAATCCAGACTCTCCTGCCATAACCCCTGAGCTTCTCTCCATCTAGTCTTTTCATCTGCAGAATAGGAGATAATAATAGATAATGAGCAGAGGCTGTGAGAAGAATTACCCAAGATACACACTAAGAAGCCAGGCAAGATAGTGCACACCTGTAATCCCAGGTACTTGGAGGCCCGAGGCAGGAGGAGTGCAAATTGGAGGTCAGCCTCAGCAATTTAGTTAGACCCTGTCTGAAAATAAAAATGAGAAGGCTGGGAGGCCTAGGAGGCCATTCAGTGATAAAGCACTTGCCTAGAAAGCATGAGGCCCTGGGTTCAATCCCCAGCACTGAAAAATGAAACAAAGCTATGCTATTGTGCTTAAATCAGGATCTGGAACATAGGGAATGCTCAATAAATGTAACTATTGTTGGGCTGGGGATTTAGCTCAGTGGTGCCACCACCTGCCTGGCAAGCACAAGGTCCCAAATTCCATCCCAGGTACCAAAAAAAAAAAAAAAAGTAGCTATTGTCATCATTCAAGGTTTAGTACCTTTTATCCAAAATGCTTGGGGGCAAGCTGGGTGCAGTGGCCCACACCTGTAAACCCAGCACTCAGGAGACTGAGGCAGGAGGATTACCCTATGTTCAAGGCCAGCCTGGGCTGCATAGTGAGTTCAAAGCCAGCCTGAGCTACACAGCAAGACCCTGTCTCAAAAAAAGAAAAGAAAAGAAAAGAAAAGATGCTTGATGACAGAAATATTATGGACTTTGATTTTTTTCAGATTTTAGAATATTTGCTATACATAATAAAATATCTTAGGGACAAAACCCAAGGCTAAATATAAAATTCATTTATGTTTCATCTGTGGTACCATTTATGTTTTATCTGTCCCTTATACATAGTCTGAAAGGAATTTGTTTGTTTTTTTATAGTACTAGGGACTGAACTCAGAGCATTTAGACTGTGCTACATTCCAATCCTTTTTTTGTTTTTTACTTTTTTTTGGTACAGGGTATCAAACTCAGGACCTTCCACTTGTGAGGCAGGCGGCAGCACCACTGAGCTAAATCCCGGCCCTTTTTATTTTTCACTTTGAACCAGGGTCTCCTAAAATTGCTAAGTTTCCCAGGCTGGGCTCAAATTTGCAATCCTCCTGCCTTGGCCTCCTAGAGTCCAGAAATTATAGGCAGATAATTTTATACAGTATTTTTTTTGGTACCGAGGATCGAACTCGGGACCTTGCACTTTCGAGGCAGGCGCCCGAACCACTGAGCTAAATCCCTGGCCCTATATAGTATTTTTAGTGCACTTGCAGAGTGACTGCAAATCATCACATGAGGTCAGGTGCGGGAAGTTCCACTTGTGCACCACATTGGCACTCATAAAGTTTTGGGTTTTGAAGCTTTTAGGGCTTTTGGATTAGGAATGCCCAACCTGGAATTTCTCTCTTTCTCTTCCTCTTCCTCTGTCTCTGTCTCTGTCTCTGTCTCTGTCTTTGTCTCTGTCTCTGTCTCTGTCTTTGTCTCTGTCTCTGTCTCTGTCTCTCTCTCTGCCACACACACACACACACACACACACACACACACGCACTCTTTATCAGCAGCCAACACAGTGGCTGGCACAAAACAGGCCCAGAGGAATGAGTCCTGGGCCTCTACCAACGCCTCCAATACCCTGGGGTTGTCTAAGTCCTGGGGCTGAGTAGTGGAGCTGTTCATCCTGAGGCCCAGACCAGCCAAAGGGGCTGCTACTGAGTGCAGCTGTCCTGACCTCTGGTCCATGGGCCCAAGAAGGACTCACAGGGAAAGATCTGCTGCCTCCCTGGCTGTGCAAACTGTGAGGCTGTGTGTCTCATCCTTGGATCCAGGGCCCAGGGCCCTGGGCGAGTTTCTCCTGCATTTTTTGTGGATTTCATCTTCCCTCTTATGTCACACTCGCTCCCTGCCATTCTCCAGGGCCCATCAGTATGAGGTCATTGCTAAGTGACCTGAGTGTATCAGGAAAGGGCAGGAGGTCACAGCATCAAGCTGAGAAGTGGAGGCACCCTGACAGAGGATGGGGAAGGTGTGCTGTGGCTCTGCAGGGTGGAGCCTATGAGCTCCTGGAAGTCCGATTCAACAGAAACCCAGGGGAGCAGACTGGATAAATAGATGTAACCACACATTGAGGGATAGCTGTGCTACAGCTGCTCCCAGGAACAGTTTCCATCCAGAAAGTCCATGGAGACCAAAGTCAGATAGTTTTCAGTAACCCAAGGTCACACTCCAAAAGGCAGATATATTTTTCTTCTCTCTTACTGCTTAAAAAAAAGAAAAGAGGGCCGGAGATTTAGCTCAGTGGTTCCACTGCTTGCCTCGAAAGCTCAAGGACCCAAGTTCAATCCCTGGTACCAAAAAAGAAAAGAAAAGAAAAGAAAAGAGCTTATAACTGGGAGACTGCGGCAAGAGGATGACAAATTTAAGCCCAGCCTGGACAACTTAGAGACTTAGCAAGACCTTGTCTCAAAAAAAAAAAAAAAAAAAAAAATTAAAAAGAGCTAGAGGCTTAGCTCAGCATAAAAGCCCTGGTTTAATCCCCAGTACCACCACCACAAAAAAAAGTT